TCATGACGAGTTCAGAATCTACAATACAATATATGTAGGCAGAACAAGTAGATGGCTACACAACCATCTTTACATGAATCAAGGGAAAAAGAGAAAGCTGGTTGCCAGCAAGGAAAAGAGAAAGCTGATGTGAAGCTCTTAGAAAAGGGTGAATATTAAAATGGCTAAATGACTGAAACTGAATACATTAATGTCCTAGAAAATCGTATCCCTCTTTTGATGGGATTTGACAAAAACCATATTAGGTAAATATATTACAAAACATATTACATGATATTTCTTAATATTTCCCCTCCAGTTGGAGAGTAAATATTATGAACTCCCAACTTGTCCCGTAGTGTCGCAAATTGATGTTTTTCCAAGGCTTTTGTAAATAAATCTGCTAACTGTAAACGTGTAGGCACATGTGAGGGAACAATCATTCCAGCTTATAGTTTTTTTCGAACGATGTGACAATCAATTTCAATATTTGTATGCTCGTGAAAAACAGGATTAGCTGTTATATATAGGGCAGCTTGATTATCACAAAATAATGATATGGGAGCCTTTAGCGGAACCTTTAATTATTGCAATTTATAGTGTAGCCAAGTTAACTCTAAACATGTGTTGGCCATAGCTCGATATTCGGCTTTTGCAGATGATCGAGAAACATTGTCTTACTTCTTGAATTTCCATGAGATGAGAGAATTTCCAAGAAAAACACAATATCCAGTAGCTGACCTTCTCGTGGCACGACAACCTTCCTAATCAGAATCACAAAAAGCTTTTAACTCAAGATTGTCAGAGACGGGAAATAATAAACCTTGACCAAGAGTACCTTTGATGTACCTGAGAATTCGTAAAGCTGCATCCCAATGAGGCTTGTGAGGCTCATGCATGAATTGACTCAATGTGCGAACTGAAAAGACTATGTTATGCCTAGTAACAGTAAGATAAATCAATCGTCCGACTATTCTTCTGTACTTGGTGTGATCATCTAACAATGCTCCGTCAGTGGGAGTGAGTTTCAAATTTTGTTCCATTGGAAACTTGTCGGGGCATGCTCCCGTAAGTCCAGAATCTTGCAAAATGTCTAGTGCATATTTTCTCTAAGACATGAAAATGCCTTTCTGAGAACAAGAAAATTCAATGTCCAAAAAATATTTCAAATCACCAAGATCTTTGATGCGGAAGCGTGTGAGAAGAATGTTTTGAGGCGTTCCATCTCTCGAAGATCATTCCCTGTAAGAAGTATGTCATCTACGTAGATAAGGATTGCAATAAACGAAGAACCTTAAGCCTTGGTAAAAAGAGAATAATCAGCTTTTGACTATTGGTAATCTGCTTTCTGAATGGTGACTGAAAAAGTCGAAAACCAATTTCTAGATGCCTGTTTGAGTCCATATATAGAGATTTGTTGAGCCGACATACAATGTTCTCCCCCTGTCGGCGGAGACCAGGAGGGGTTCCATGAAAACAACCTCATGCAAATCACCATGGAGAAAAGCGTTCTAAACATCCAATTGACGAATGAACCAATGACGTGCACTAGCAACAACAAGAAGACGACGAAGAGTAGTGAGTTTGGCAATAGGAGAAAAGGTTTCCTGATAATCGATGCCCTCAATTTGAGTGTATCTTTTGCAACAGGATGAGCCTTATACCACTCAATTGTGCCATCAGAGTTGTATTTGATTTTATAAACCCATTTGTAACCAATGGGTTTATGACATGCAGGTAAATGAACCATGGTTAATGTATTGTTTTGCTGCAAAGCCATTAATTCTGCATGCATGGCATGACGCCAATTAGGATCAAGTCTGGGCATATGAAGTAGGTTCAGTGGGACCTGTAATGTTGGCCAGAAAAGCACAATGGGCAGAAGAAATGCGTGAATAAGAAAGAAAATTAGAAATAAGGTAACAAGTACCTGTGGAAGGACGAGGCGCCGAAGGAGAATAACTAACCTGGTTAGTCACGTGATAATCTTTATGCCATAGGGGGTTTCTTAGGACGGAAAAATTGACGTGGGAAGGGTGGAAAGGGTGACTAAATAGACGTGGCATTTGGTGCAAGTGATAGAGCAGACATGTCAGTGGAGGGTGAGATATGAGAGATGGGCACGACAATGGGTGGGGAGCATAGCAACATGGCAGGAGAAGTGTGTTGAGGGGGTGGGAGCATGTCAAGAGGTGTAGGGTTAGATGGTGGGGTTCGGGGGTTAAGAGGTTTGACAAGTTGGCGGTGGGAGTGTAGTGTTAGCAGGACGGTGCAGATATGGGGATATGACGGGCCCGTTGTCATGTATGGGAAGGGTAGGGGTCAGAGGAGATGAAGGTAGAGACTGGAAAAGGAAGGTATTTTCAGTAAATTTAACGTCACAGTTGACAAAGAATTTTTTTAGTTTCCAAATCATATAGTTTATAACCCTTTTGACCAATGGGGTATCCTATAAAGATATAACACTTAGCACGAGGGTTGAATTTATGAGTAGGGTGAACAACAGTAGCAAAACACAAACAATCAAAAACTTTCAAGGGATCAAAATATGGTGGACGTTTATATAATAACTCAAAAGGGGATTTGTTTGATAACAAAGGAGATGGTAATCGGTTAATGAGATAGACATCGGTGGATACAAACTCACCCCAAAATGAAAGGGGTACATGAGATTGGAAGCGTAAGCTACGTGCAACGGTGAGAATGTGACAATGCTTACGTTCAACAACGCCATTTTGTTGTGGAGTGTAAACACATGTGCGTTGATATTCAATGCCATTGGTTTGAAAAAATCTTTCATGGACAAGAATTCAGACCCATTGTCAACCGTTACTGCTTTTATATTTGCATGAAATTGTGTATGAGCAAAAGTAACAAAAGATTTTAAAAGGTGTTGAGTTTCAGATTTATGTTGCATAAAAAAAAACCCATGTACACCTAGTAACGGTTATTAACGAAAAATCACGATTATCAACGAAAAATCACAATTTAACGGTTATGTGAACTCCGATTTTGATGATTTTTTACAGCTACACTCCTTAACCCTATATGAATACAGTGAATGAACTCGATCTTCAATTTAAAATATTTACACTAGTGGATACCACAAAATCTTGTGTTATACTTAATGAAAGTATGAATAAACTTTTAAGTGTTAGTGAATCTATCGTTTTGATGGGATACGTATTCTACGAAACTAATTTCAACGATTCAACCGTCAAACTTATTTGTATATGCTTCGAGATCGCATGTGCTAAAAATCGCAAAAAGTAAACATTCAGATATCAAGTAACGGGATAAAACTTTTCGACGGTTATCAACTAAAAATCACGATTTAATGGTTTATTTTAACTCTGATTTTGATGATTTTTTACAGCTACACTCTTTGACCCTATATGAATACAATGAAAAATCTTATGTTATACTTAATGAAAGTATGAATAAACTTTTAAGTATTAGTGAATCTATCGTTTTGATGGGATACGCATTATACGAAACTAATTTCAACGATCTAACCGTCAAACTTGTTTGTATATGCTTCAAGATTGCATATGTTAAAAATCGCAAATAACATACATTCAGAGATCAAGTAACAGGACAAAACTTTTCGACGGTTATCAACGAAAAATCACTATTTAACGGTTATTTTAACTCCAATTTTAATGATTTTTTTACAGCTACACTCTTTGACCCAATATGAATACAATGAATGAACTCGATCTTTAATTTAAAATATTTACACTAGTGGATACCACAAAATCTTATGTTATACTTAATGAAAGTATAAATAAACTTCAAATGTTAGTGAATCTATCGTTTTGATGAGATATGCATTCTACAAAACTAATTTCAACGATCTAACCGTCAAACTTGTTTATATATGCTTCAAGATCGTATACACAAAAAATCGCAAAAAGAAAACATTTAGAGATCAAGTAATAGGACAAAACTTATCGACGGTTATCAACGAAAAATCACTATTTAACGGTTATTTTAACTTCGATTTTGATGATTTTTTACAATTACACTCCTTGACCCTATGTGAATACAATGAATGAATCCGATCTTCAATTTCAAATATTTACACTAATAGATACCACAAAATCTTATGTCATGATGATCAATGAAAATTGAGGATTTTGTAAAATAAATAACATGCAAGCTTTGAGTTCCATTGGCAAGGTTTAAAGTTTTGAGAAAAGCTTCACAACCTTGCACATTTAATATTTTGTAATAGACTAGTAATGTATAGATGTTTGTTTATTAGACTCTTATTTTCGAGTGTAGTATTTAAACGATAAATGTGTTTTATTGTTTTGAAGTAATATTTACGTGGCAATGTGTGGTATGTGCAAATTTAAGAATTTTTTTTTTCTTAACGGGTCGGGTCACTTTACCCCCTGTTAAGACCTGTTAAGATAACGGATGTGATACGACACGATCCGTTAAGATAACAGATGTTACACGAAAATGACACGAACACGACAAACATGATCCGTTTATTAGGCCTAGTTGGATCCATTCAATTTTTCCGAAACTACCATATGACCAGGACTATCTGAATGATGAACATAGTATGGGTTTGATGAATCCATACCTATCTTGCTATGGGTTTGACTGTTTTGTGGTTGTGGTTGAAGTACTGTGTCTGACATGATGTTTGGAAAATAACAAGGGTTGAGAAATAAAACAGGCAATCCAGGGAGGTGGATTGTCTGCCCTCCCATTTCCATATTCTCCCCATGTTCTCTTGTTTGTGTGGTTATGATTAAGTCACGTCAATATTTTATATTCCTATTACTTTTTGTTTTATTATTTTTATAAAAAATTAATATAAAATGTTGACGTAACTTAACTGTGACCATATATCATAAAAGGACATGAAAATTATATGAAAATGGAAGGACATAAAATCCACCTCTGCAATCAAGTAACAGGACCTGATAAACTGGATACCATCTTAAAAAAGGGTGAATATTAAAATGGCTAAATGACAGGACAATTGAAAGGAGCAGACTGCATTGGTTTCGAATTGATTTCTATTGATAAACTTTACAGTACAATAGATACAACAGTAGGTTAAGTAATTAACCCTACATTAATTTCCTGTCCCTCTTTTGATGGGATTTGACATAAAAATATATTACAAAATATATTACATGATATTTCTTACTAGAAACAAGGAATATAGACCGCTTGGAAACGAGGAAAAGACAGAATATAGACGGCCTTCAAACATGGAAAAGAGAAAGCAGATGACAGGTGTTTCCAACAGAGATAATATCAGAAATGTTATGAACTGAAAACGAGTGGTGCCCTCTTCAACATTTAACCATAAGTTTTGATTGAAATTCTACAGACTCCATCCACTAGACCAATCATCGTCGAAATTATATCTGCTTGCGAACATCAATAGATCAAAGCTAAAGAATAAGATGGCGCGGCGTGTGGGGCCAGTTTCGTAGGAAACTGGAACATCTATGAGAGGAGCAAGGAGCCCTACTATGAAGACAGTGATGAACAATCCCATGGCTATAACAAAGATGCGAAGCCATATAAGATTATACACTATCAGTGCAACACCAGCCAGGAATGACAAGGACATCATGGTAAGCGTCATGCCTAGCACCGGTAAGGTAAATTTCATGGCAACATGGATTATATTAGGGTCATCCGTTTGTGCCCACATAAGGGCAATTGAAGCAGTAATGGAGCCGCACATCGCCATGGTATTGCATATCAAGAAAATTTTAAAAAGGATATGCGTAAGAAAAGTTGGGGTGCCTACATCATTTCCAGAGCTATTGTATCCACCTGGTATTGTGAAGCCTTGAACAAATGTTATACCAACGACCAGTGTTGACACCAATAGGAAAATATTGACACTCTCTTTCGAAAACATTAGGTTATCAGAATTGTGCAAGGACTGCAGAACAGAATCCTCTGTCACTAGCTTTGCTTTGGCGGATGTTCGCTCTTCAGACCGTGGAGCATTAGCCAAGTTCAAGGCCATAAGTGTCAGTTTCTGCATGAAAAACGAAAATTTCAGTTCTTGACCAAGTAATTATTAGTATATACACCATGTATGACAAACAAGAGAAACGATTATTAATATAAAGTCCAGAAGTGTTGGTTTCTGCAGTGAAAATCGCTTGTAATCAGGATATATTCCCCTCTCTTTATCTCGCTCATATGCAACGAGAGAGACAAGAAGGGTATATAGACACACACACACACACACACACACACACACCCCTCTGGTTAATTAATTACATTGTAGAATTCTCTCCTTTGTACGACATACTTGTACAGTCGTACGTACTTGTAGTGTCACTGCGTAGGTAAAGGAAACTAATCGATCGAAAAGTTATGTTGAGAAATTACGTACCCTCCGAAACAACATCTCTTTATCTACCTCGGTATTCTCTGCAAGGTCCAATGCCGTCATGCCTGCATCGTTCAAACTATTTAAATTGGCTCTCGCATGGAAGAGGCAAAGAATTTTGACAATCTTAGGATGCCAGTTTTGAACGGCTATGTGTAGAGGGGTATTTCCACTTTTATCTCTTTGCTTGCTAAGCACCTGAAGATCACACTTTCCAATTATATATCGGACAACATTATCTCTTCCATGCGCGGCCGCAGCATGAAGAATATTCCTGCCTTTATCGTCACATGCCTCCCTCAAGTCTGGGCAATGTTTGAGAAACTCTTCAACAACCCTGCGATGGCCTTTTTTGGACGCCACATGTATGGGAAGGAACTGATTTTCGTCCTTTTTGTATGCCAATCCAGTAAATTTGTCTAACAAGACACGTACCGCCACAAAATTACCTATAAAAGCCGCAAGGGTAAGATGATTCATCCACTCTTGGTCGGTTGAATTGATGAGAGCTGAATCCATTTTGCCCAATATCTTCTCTAGGAGATCTACATGCATATGCATTTTAGAAGCAACTCTGTCACGATTAAGTTCTTATGAAGAGAGAAACAAACGAAAGGTAACTTTGTATACCATATTACAAAGAGTTAGAGCATCTCCGATAGTGTAAAACGTTGGTCTAATTGTATGTGCAATTGAGTAAGAAAATTTTGCTCATTCCCACAAAGTAAGAAATACTGACTACATGAAAATGGCAAAGACAGAGCCATACCTGTATAGTTCTTTCCGTTGGTTCTGGGCAGCCACCATTGAGAAAATATATACTCAAAATTCATCGCCCATAGTATGGCAACCAGCAAAAACAATGGACTGAAGAAATAGGATAACATGAGCATGGCAACCAGCAAAGAGAATGGATTGATGAGATAGGATAACACGAACACTGCATTGCTGTTGAGTCCACCTCTTGCTATATATGTACCCCAAAATAAAATAAGAAAAAATTAGTATTTGGTCCCTATCTAGTATCTACTAATGTTTATTGACTGAAACCTTATTAGTTTTTAGATTTTGATCCAAGTTCTTAACATTAATGTAATAATGAATTTACATGTTAATTATATAATTTTTTAAAATAAAAATCAATAATTGATTTAGAATTTTAATACTCACACATTTTTTAAACTCCTCACTAATTTTCAATTCAAAACATTTCCAAAATAAATAAATAAATAATTAGAATAAGTTTGTACCCATTAGCTTTCTTTAAAATGTTTTCAATTTTTTAATCTTATATGTACCCATTCATGTATTTTTTTTTCAAATTTTTAATCTTAAAATGTACTTATTCTTAAATATGTCAATTTGTTATATGTAAAATGTACCCTTTTTTTTTTTTTAATAAAATCTATTCAATTTTTTTCTAATCTATTTTTAAATTTATATGGATACATTTTTTTTTCCTTTGATTTGAGAATGTATCAATGTCAAGTTTAATCAAAGAAATTTACCAATGTTTATTAAGCCTAATATCCCCTTTTTTTTGTGATTTTTAAGAAGTTACTCATGTTTTGGTACAATAATTTTTTTTTAATTTTGATGAATGTACCTATGTTTACACACACACACACATACACACACCAGTATATTTATATTTTAATATTTTAACCCACAAATTGTAATTTTTTATTTAAAATCTCATTAGTATAAATAACTATAATTTTTAATTTTTAATTTAAAAAATATAGTAACATACATAGAAATAAATTATCATATTAATTTCCAAAACTTCGATAAAAAATTGAAAACCAACAAGATTTCAGTAAAAAAATATTCATAATTAAAGATTGCAGCCAAAATCTCCTATAAAATAAAATAAATACTCATTACCACCTATCTGTGCCAAAAACAAAAAGTACTCATGAGTGTACCAAAAAGAGAAAAAGGTGGCTGCTAATGCTTAATATTTACCCTTTTTCCTCCATATGATCACCCCACGAAGAATTGAGCTGCCGTTCGATCCTTGCCAAAAAGAATTATCGTCTGCTGGCGTCTTGGCTACCATTGCTTCGACGAGGTCAAGATTGGCAGCTTCAGCAGCTATGCATAAGGGAGTTTTACCGGAGTTATTTTTAGAATGCGACGTGGATCCATCTTTGCCAACCAAAAACATAGCCACCTCTTGGTGATTATTTTCCACAGCGACATGCAACGGAGTGTTGCCTCTCCGGTCCTCTTCATTAAACATATCACCTTGAGTGTCTACTAAACAATGAACTGCGGATAGATGGCCAGCGGATGCGGCTACATGAAGAGGAAGTTCTCGATCACCGTTTTGTTTGCGGACAAGCCCCGGAAAATTTTGGGCTATTAGTTTGATAAGCTGCACATGGCCTGTACTTGCAGCAAGGTGAAGCACCGTGTTCCCACCAGGGGTTGCTTTGTTTCCACTACTTTGGACCAGCACTACTATTTTTTCAGGAATATTACATATAGGTATTGCAGATGTGGCTCCGGCAAAATACTTTGTGGGCATGGCCCGTATAAACTTTTGATAGAGGCAGATACACTGAAAAATTACTCCTGGTTTATACGTTGTTGCATACCTATATAGTATAGGATCTATGCGTGTGTCGACTGCCTCGGTGTCTCCTGCAGCGTGCTCATGAGCACCCTCGCCAGTTGTTGGATCATCTTGTCTTGAACTCCAGCCAACATCCTCCATTGCTATTTCACATTGTCTTAAACTTGAAGCAGCCATTAATTTGCAGATTAGCTACACAAGTGCTTTTTCCACGGAGAAAACGTGACTCTTGTCTAATGTGCGATTTCTGGAGTCTTGACTCTTGAGTCTTGCACGTATAATTGTGAGGGGGGACCCCATGCGGAAGACTTGTCGCCTTCCCACGCAAGTTCCGGAACAATCATATATGACAACGTGGTTGACTGACCAAAATGTCACTAATGATGGCCGGATCATTTTCCTAGATATTCTGTAATCGTGTTTGTTCTTCGTATATCTTATGATTAAAAATCATTTAAAATTTAAAATTTAAATATAAATAGTACTTAACGAAAACTGTTCACAAGATGTACGATGAATGGACACGATTGCGGGATCCTTAGAATTCCTAGAAAAAGAATTCAACAAGAATATGTGTATCAGCTCTTTAATAAGAGAAGAGCTCGCTAACGCATGTAAATTCAATACAAAAGTGATATATTGTAATAATATCAAGAGGAGGATTCTCTATCTTCTTATTCTCATACCTTTACATCTTATTCTCTCACACATTGTTTTTTGTCTTATTATCTTTATAAAAAAAATCAATATAAGATGTTGACGTGACTTAACCGTGACCGTTCAAATAGGAGGGCATGAAATGGTGAAGAGATTAGGAGAGTAAGGAATCATCCTCTACAATATCATGAAACAAAAGAAACCGTAATCATAAGGAAAACTAAACAATGCAGCTAGTTTATTTATATTTTTACGTTAGTATGTGACATGAGCCATAGCTACTTTTATGACATGGTTTGATATATGACATGTGACAACCTGTCCCTAATTTTATGTTTTTATTTATTTTAATCAAGAGAATTGACGAAAATGCCCTAGATGTAAGGACTTGACTTTTGTTAACCATCGTTTAGAGAAACGTATGACTTATTCCTTTAGCGCATTTAAGTAGTACTCGTTGATACAAACACATAGGCGAAATCCATTTGTGAGTCCGGATTATAACAGTATAGTTATGGACGTTTGAAGTTGGTTATTTAAAGGTAATTAAATTATTTGAACTCCCACCTTGTAGGATTGAGAACCAATCAACATATGGGTTAAGGGGACCAATCTGATTTGGAGGGAGGGACAGTGAGAGCCAATCAAGACAAAAAAAAAAAAAAAAAAAAAAAAAAAAAAAAAAAGGGAAAAGCTCCCAGCCTTCCCGTGGCCTTTCACATGCACCCACACCCATTGTGACCACCCATCTTCCAAGGCCGATTCAAGCCAATTCCGATGGAGATTTTCGACGCCACCACCACCATCTTGAAGCTCTCATTCCCCTCTACAAAACCCACCAAGAACCACCTTGATTAACCACTGTATGAGGCGATTTGAGATCACGAAAGTTGACGGTTTTCGCGGTGCTTCGGCCACCATTTTCAATTTTCCGGCGAATCTGCAAAGCAATGGCCGATGCCACCACTTGGGCTTTGTAGCCCATCATCCCAGGAGAAAATACCAACCAACCTTGACCCCGTTAGACCACCATAGACGAATTGACGCTGGGAAGTTTTAGGAATCGGCTTTGTGGGCAAAATTGACCATCTTCCGTCCACTTTTGGACTTTGTGGCAGGTATGAAAGTTGTTCCTGTCTTTCAGATCTTCATTTCTGTGAAATTTGAGAATTTTTAGAAATAGTGAAATTTTCCAGCGAACCGTGGCACCCAGCCACCACCCGCGGCGGCCCATGGGCCGAGACTCTACCTGACCTTTCTAGAATCTCAAATCATTTTAGAACGTCATTGGGATGTATTTTATGTAAAATATGTATTTTATCGGTAAGAACGCTGAGATATGATTTAATAATTGTTCTAGGCGACGTTGGTTCGTGATGTCTCGATATTCGCACTAGAGAGTCGTAGCACGGACCTCAGGTGATTGGGTCTTTTCCTTTCTACTGTATATATATACATGATTGATAATTGCACAAACGTTTTTAAGTTGATTTATGCATATTACCTACATATAATTACTGTGAATGTTTAGAAGTGCATGCGTGAACTACAAATGACTTGATCCCGGTTTAGGGTACGTAGGCAGTCTAACGAGACGTTAGATGCAACCATACAAGAAGTGAGATTAAATAATTGAGACAATAGCCTTGTTTGGGGAATTGAACAATGTGAGAGACATTGGTGTAAAATGTGAGATTTAACCTTATGCGTTGGTGGTTAAATATTGGTTATAAATCAATGTGTAAAAAAATAAGAAATTAAAGTAAGGAAATGTAAGTAATGATAGTTAATTAAACTAGTGTTTAGTTGGGCTTATCACCGTTGATTATTCCCGAAAATAAATAGTTCGGGAGTAGGGCGTTATAGCTTATGCATTTTATGTCATATTATATATATATATATGTATGTATATAATTGAAAATGCTATGACATGGTTGAGTATTAAATTGCATCATGATATATCCATATGTATATTACCTGGACATAATTATTGTGAATGCTTTGAAGTGCAAAGGTGAACGCAGGACACCCAGGTAAGTTCAGGTGAGTTTATGGTATTAGTTGAATTGATGGAGTTATGGCATGACTACATTTATGTGTTAGGCAACTCTGACATTGTCGTATAAGTTGCAATTTTAGGCAACTCCGACACTGTCGTACAAGTTGCCCATGAGTTGTACATGTTATATTGAGATGCATTGAGAGCTCATAAACATGCACCCCTGTGTTAGTGCTCCCGCTCGTGGCCAGGGCACAGTCATTCACGTGATGTTCACCTCTCGCACCTTACACTCACCTTGGACTTAAGGTAGGTGCACATGCCTGTCGTACATACCACTATAGGTGGTTCCGACTCGTAGGTGACCCGCGATTATTCACACAGTCTTCACGTGATCGTAGCACTTGAGCGTACTTATATACACTCAGTCCTGTCGTACAGACCACTAGAGGTGGTTCCGACTCGGGTGCAAGGATGTTTGATGAGTTATAGATTAAGTTGTACAGGTCACTATAGGTAACTCCCGACTTATATGCTAGTATTGATTGATGAAATATGGATAAGTCGTACATGTCACTATAGGCGACCCCCGACTTATATGCTAACATTGATTGATGAGATATGGATAAGTCGTACATGTCACTATAGTGACTCCCGACTTATATGCTAGCATTGATTGATGAGATATGGATAAGCCGGCCGTATAGGTCACGTGAGGTAACTCCGGCTAACATGTTGATGAGTTATTGGTTCAGCTATACTGCCACAATAGGTGGATCCGACTGACATACCATTTCATATTGATTTATTTCACCTGGGTTACTTATTATTGTTGATATATTTGACATGGCATAACTGTAAGACTGTTATTTTGGTTATGGTTTTGAGTTATAGTTACGCATGTTATTCCTGGGAAATTATACAGGTGTTACGGCGAGGGGTTACTACCTTTGGTAATTGAAATTGGTTTGAAAAGTTTTGTTTCACTCACTCACATTTTCTATTTTTGCACTCCTCCAAGTTCTAGTAGCAGGGTTCCGTATTGACGAGCATTCGTGGCACTTTTCAGTATAGATGTCTTCTTGTGATGGTATAATCATTATCTTACCTTACTGTACTATACTTATGCTCTGTATCACGCGTGAAAGAGGTCCATACCCGCTCACCGCGCACTCGTGTACTTAGGCACTTTTAGATTTTAATTTATTCACATTTTATTCATTATCACACTTTATGGCTTCGCCACATTCCAAGTGTCGCCCAACACGGCTTGATTTGGGATCCTAATGGACATTCGGGGTCGGAGTGTGTCATGACATAAGGGACACTGACTGCGGAACCGGATCTTTTCCGAATCCTTCAAAACTAAGCTCACTAATCAATGAATCTGAACCATTAAAATTTGATTCAATGGTTATAAATAGGAAATACCTCTAAAATTATAATAATTGTAACTGTATGATCAAATTTTAATGGTTTAGATTCATTGATTAGTGGGATCAGTTTTGAAGACTCCGAAGGAAATTCGGTTCCACCGATTGCCGATATAATTTCAACCGGTCATCCAAAAAGTTGACTAAAACCACAATTTTTACAGCAGAATTTTGGAGCACAATGCAATTTTATAAAGATATTTTTCATCCAAGAAACAATAATAAACATATTTGAGATCAAACGTAGCGTAATTGGATTAGTTAGAGTGCACGCGTTCCCTTATATAATTACTAGCCTTCATGCACGTGCTCACATTATTTCTAGCCTATTGTGAGGCTAAGCCCATCATTCTTCCCTTAATGTAGATAATATCGTTTGTTAATAAAGAAAACAATCATTTGACAACTAATTTAATCGAATTATTTGATACTTCAAAAATTTGATTGTGTACTTCTCATAAGATTATTTTTCTTTGTAAATATAAAAAATTTAAAATGTCCAATTAAAAATTTAAAATGTTAACAACAATTTAAAAAAAAAAATTATGATCAAAATAATAATAAGAAAAATAATAGAAGGTAGGGCCGCATGATTAGTTAGTTGGAAGATGTAAGCAAATATATGCAACATGTCTCTCCTTTTGTCTAGGTGTGATATAACATGATAAACGGTAGATACCAAAACTAGTTAGGTCAAGTTATATCCCATAAATAAATAAAAAGTAAATATCAGTTTATTATCCTCATATTTTATAGTTTTCAACATTTAGTGCATTAAATTTTTTTTGTTCCAGAATCAAACCTAAAGTGTAAATTTTGAAACGATCTCATACATTCGTTAATTAAATTGTTAAGTCTGTGGACAATAACTAAGCACCGCATATCAATAATAATCTCAGGTAGATATTAAAAAAAATTTAAAATTTAAGATTACAAAATTACAAAAAAAAAAAAAAAAGTTGTTCTTCTCCTTCGAACATCTTCTTCTTCTCCCTCCCTTCTCTAACCCTCATCTCTTTCCTCTCTGCACACTCTCTCCCCTCCATTCTCAGAAGCTTTGTCTGACATTTGTATCATATACTTCTTGTGCAGCCTCCATTGAAACAACCCTGAAATCAACTTCGACAAATTATAAAATCATCCATCACAAAAATCGTAAAGTTTGAATCTTTACTAAATCCCAACTGACCCAACATCTAAAAGCAAAGCAGAACCACCCAACCCAGAACCCACGCGCCCTCGCCTCCTCCACTTCCAGCTTCTCATCCCGCTCCTCCACCTTCTTCAACCACGCCGCTTCCCCGCCCAGCGCGCGCCTCAACGTCTGGACTGCGCCCCCCTCCGCCCAGTCCGTAGGATTCTCATTCGACCGCCCGACCTCTCCCAGCCGATCCATCTTCGTCTCGCCGTGTAAGTTCCTCCTCCTTCTCTTTCCTTCTTTCTCCTCTTCTTCTCTCTCCAACCTTCCAAATTTGTTTCTCCAGCCGCCCCGACTCAGAGCCAGAAGTCCCTTTCATCGTCATCATCTTCATCGTCCTCATGGAGGCCGTGAAGGCCATTTCTGAAGGGAAATCCGAGGCTGCGACGGAGATTTCGCCCGGATGACGATGACTTAACTTTAAAAACCCAAAAATTTCGTAAAAACTTATCAATTGTTTCGGATTTAAAGATTTTCGATTTTGATTAAGTATAAATTTAATTTTACCTCTTGAAGTTCCGCTGGTTTTCTTGCATTTTCTGGGCTTTCGATTTCATTTCCCTTTGATTTTTAAGGAATGGATTTTCTGGGAATTGAAGCCACACAGAGAGAGAATAGATTAGGCGGTCTGGGGTTAACACTTCGTCCTTCCATATCCATGGAAGCATGAGCTTCCTCTACGAAGCAAAAGGCGAACACGGCCTGGGAGAATGACTTCTGAATTCACAACAATGAACAGAAACATTTTAAAATTAAACTCTGCAATCATCGAATCTGAATCCGAGATCCAACAGAACCAACCGAAGGAAATTGAAAGAGTCAAAATGTAAACAGCAGGAGCTCAGCGATCTGTTTGGTGCCTGAGAAAATTCGGAAAAATAATTGAAAACAGATTCAGGGATGAAGAACATTTTTGGGATGGCTGGGTTGCTCGGGGGTTGATGGAGGGAGAAGGTTGGTTTAGCACATATGGGTGGAGGCCGAGAAGGGAGGGACGGTCGGGGTTGAGGAAGAACAACCTTTTTTTTTTTTTTTTTTTTTTTTGTAATTTTTAATTTTTTTTAATATCCACGTGGGATCCTTAGTTATTGTTTATGTGGATGTCACGTCATTAGTTGACGGAAGACTTAACAGTTTGACTAACAGATGCATGAGATTGTCCCAAAATTTACACTTTAGGTATGACTTTAGGACGAACAAAACTTGATGTACTAAACAAACAAGTTTGATGATTGAATCTTTGAAACTAGTTTCGTAAAATGCATATTTTATCAAGTTGAATGGTATATATATTTATTAAGTAACTTTAAATTTATTTATTTTGTATGTATAACATTTAAGAAATTAAATGATATATATATTTATTAAGTGATTTTAAATTTATTATTATAGTTTGGATTAGATTTTTGTTACAAAAATATATTATTGTGGAGTAAAATCAAATTTTTAATAAATTGTATAATAATTTTGTTTTAAATATAATTTACGCGACGTCACTATGGGTTGGTTGCGCAAAAACACTTTGCACGACGTGATAATCTATACATGCGTCGCGCAAAGTCAACCAAATTATACCCGTGCAATTGTTAAAAATAGGCGGTCTTTTTAAATTTTCCCAAACAAAATAGGTCTCTCTTCCCTCTCTCTCATTCGGTCCGTCTCTTCCCTCTTGCTCATCTCTCCCACTCCGTCTCTTCCCTCTCTCCCTCTCTCTCAGTAACTAGTAATTCCCTCTCTCTCTCTCTCTCTCTCTCGCAGGTTAGGTCAGGGTTCGGAAAGACATCAGTGATTTCAATATAGGGTTTTGCGATAATCTAACTCAAAAACTTTGCATCTTGATAAAGTAAATCGCCTTCTCTGTTATTTGGTTCTGAATCTGAGCTTGGTAATTGGTTAATTGATTGCAGATTTGTGATCTCTGTCAAATGGATAAGGATCAGAAGGTTGCATCGGAAGAAGACCCTAAGATCGATTTGTTCGAAGATGACGACGAGTTCGAGGAATTCAACATCAATGAAGGTAATTTTTGGAACCCTAATCTTGTTTATCATCTGTAATTACATATTTTGTTATTTGTTCGTAGGTATGCAGCTATTTGCTCTGTAATTGTTTCCAATTGTTTCAAAGAATTGAAGTGGGTTTTGTTTCGATTTACTTGCTATTGTTTTTAAATTAATAAAATTGTCCCGCTAGCTTGCGAAACGGATTCGTAGTGTGGAGCGTGTAATTCATATGTCCTAGCATTATCTTAGCATACAGTTCATCTAGTCTGGATTTTGAAGATAACGATGATTGCGTAATAAGATGCAAGAAGAAACTCCTGGTTTCGTGTTGTTATCTTCGGTTGTTGTATGAAATATCCAAGCCTGTAAATTGATTTTGGCATCAGAGCACCAATGCCCTGCAATGATGCAAAGGAGGTTAAAAAAAATGGAAATATCAGTGAATAGGACTGATACCAATATGGACTACCCATTTCAATTTTTGTGCTTTCTTAAATTGCATACCAAAGTAGTATTTTATATATTGCATTCAGGAAGTATGGTTTGAGCTTTGTATTTTGTGCGAACGCATTGATAGGACAGCCTCATTTCAATTAAGTCAGGTAAAATGCTTATATATTGCATTCTTGGTATATGTGAATAAGTGTCTGCTATAGGAACTAACTCAATTTGATGCTGTCATAGATTTACGGCTTGTTAACTGTTTGATGTTATCTTTTCCAGATTGAAGACGGGGACATCATATGCTTTCAGAAATCTACTCCACTCGGAAGTGAAGAAGAGCTCAAATATTCCAATGTCCCTTCATTTCTGGTAGATGGTTATTGTGGTAGTTAATGTTACATAGAGCATAAGTTCTGTGTTCAAGTGTCTCTCACTGAGCTTTCATTCTTTGTATTATTAAGACAAGGTTGAAAAAAGAACAAGAGGAGGACAAAAAGAGATACAAGGCACAAGCTCACCTTTATACTACTATTAAGGTGAAGAGTTTCTCTGTCCCCGTTTTCACCATTCCTTTTTTCACAAGTGCTAGTACATGTATTCGGTGCATGTCAAAGAATTATAAGAGAGCGATTTATTATTCATATGCTTAGGTTGCTCGAGATGAGGACCTGGTCAAACAAATAGGAAGGGATATATATTTTGACCTTGTGGACCATGACAAAGTTCGTAGTTTCACTATTAAGAAACAAATGCCCTTTAATCTTTTCAAGGTATGGCAGTACAGGTTCACTTTTATTTCTGCCTGCTTTATTCTTATCCTCCTTTGAGGTTTGTGTGTGATTTATGATTATTGAGGGCATCAGATTCTTCATTCAGTTATGTTATTACGAGAGTCTCTGATAAAGTAATGTTTTGCAGGGTCTGGTTGCACTAGAGTGCATACCAATGCAATTTCAGCAGTTTTGGATTTGGGCCATGAGACAAAACCACACATATCGCCCCATTCAACCATTGACACCCGAGGAACAATTAGAATCAGTAATTACTTTACACTTTCTACTTTTTAAGTGCTTAATGAATGGACTTGTTGTAAGTCCAGATTTGAAATGCTTATGAGACTAGTAGTGTTGTATGTGCTCATTGGTGTTTGTCAGAGTTTGGTATAGGTTCCTTATGCATTCCAATCATGACCTTTTGTTTTGCAGGTCAAAAAATTGGAAGGTCTACCAAATAAAGAACACAAAAACTGCAAGCTAAAGTTATTTTTGGAAGATCTTGGGCTGGTAATCCAGTCTCACTCTATCATTGTTATGACCCGTGGTTTTATGCTTAGTGCTGCTACACTTGCTGTATGAAAGATCTTTTCTTATGATTTTATTGCTTCGATGACATGCTCCAGGATCAACGTCCTATTCCTCTGCCTGACAAAACTAAGGAAGATATCCTGCTTTTCTTTAAGCTTTATGAACCTGAGAAACAAAAACTAGGGTACCTCTGGCTCTTTCTACTGAGCTAAATAGTTTTTTCCTTTTGATTTGTTGCTTGCTGATTTAAGTTTCATTTCGTTACCAGTTTTGTTGGTAGGTTTTTTGTGAAGAGTTTAGCAAGCCAGTAGAGATTTTAGCAAAATAAAATCAACTGGCTGGTTTTGCCCCTGATGAAGAAATTGAGCTTTATGAGGTCTACAGTCTACTTCACATTCTTTTAGCAACAGTTCTGTCATAACTAATTGTCATTACACTATTTACATATTTGTATAATTTGCATGCCTCGGTTCGGTCTGGCATTCTGGAGTAAAAGTTTTAACTGTCTGTGTACTATCAGGAAATAAAGTTTGATCCTTGTATCATGTGCCAGCACATTCACAAGTGGACGTCATTTCGTCTAAGTCAGGTAACTGTTACAATAGGAATTAACTGTTGTGGCTTCTATGCATATTTTTCATTGGCTGTTATGCTTCGTTTTCCAGATTGAAGATGAGGACATTATATGCTTTCAGAAATCTACTCCACTTGAAAGTGAAATAGAATAATTGTTCTGATACACACATATATATTCTTTGAATTGTTCTGATATTTGTATCATAATTAAACTTGTGGTTGTGTGGTTTTGGTGTAGCGAGATATGAGGAGTGATGAGCTACATAAATTGTAGCGAGCTGCATGATGTAGTGAGATACATGAAGGAGCTATATGAAGGAGTGATGAAGGAGCTACATACGTTGTATGTACAAAAGGGAAGATGCTTTTATCTGCACGTCTTCGAAAGAATTCAAGTTTGTATTTTCGGAGTTTGAGGACTTATGTTATTATGTTCAAACACATATCTTAGGTTTGTAATGAATGTATTGGCTTTACCACATTGATCTTATGTAAGTTTGTTTTTATTAACGATAATACAAAATATTCTTTAAACAATGCTCAGTGGAAATTTTACCAAAAAGCATATATTTCTTACCCCAATTTCCATTGGTTTATTAAGTTTATAATTTAATTACAATAATTATAAAAAATTAAATAAAAAATATTTTGTCAAAAAAAAAAAAAAACAAAGGTTTTGCGTGATGAAGAAGTAACTTGCGTCTAGGGGTGGGCACGGTGCGGTTTGATGCGGTTCCACCCCTAAATTGGAACTGAAACCGAAATATATTAACTGTTCGATTCGGTGCGGTTCCACTTAAATTTATTACTAGAACATTACGGTTCGGTCTACACCGGTTCCGATTCGGTTTTTGCCGGTTTACGGTTCCTAATAATAAATTATTTGAACACCAAATCATTATGCATTCAAATACATCTTCTAAAACTGATTACATAAAGTTGCATACAACACATCTTTTTTAATGCAAATGTCTTTGTTAGTGGCACCAAGTCAACAAAAAGAGACAACTAAAATACATATGCACTGGTCAATCAGTCAACAAACAAAAAAATGATGAAGCAAATTGCAGGTTTTCAGACTTCAGAGAGCAAGCAAGAAGCAGCAGCTCCTGTACACAATTTTTCAACCTATTTTTCAACCTATTATACCATGACATGTGTGTGTATATATAATTTATTTATTTATTATTAATAAAACGGTTCGGTTCGGTTCGGCCGGTTCTTGGTCATTCGAAACCGGAACCGGAACCGGTTTGAACGGTTCGGTTCGGTTTTTCACTCAAAGTTGACTTATCCGGTCAACACGGTTTTTTTTCTTACGGTTCGATGCGGTTTTGCGGTTTGACGGTTTTTATGCCCACCCCTACTTGCGTCGTGCAAAACTACTTTGCACGACGCAGGTTGCTTCTTTGTCGCGCAAATCCTATTGTCACTGACTTGGCGAGCGACGAAGTTTCGTTGCGCTAAGTTTTGGGCAATGTTTTTTTGACTTTGCGTGATGAAGGAACTGCATGGTGCAAAGTGTTTTTTGTACTAGCATGCTTATAGATTGAGAACTTGGAACAGCGGATTAAAGAAAGTGGTGAGGCTTCATAAGTAGTAGTACAATTTTGTTTCACCATTTGCAACAAGTAGCTGAAACTTTGTTTTAATTACTTATAATTTCTGCAAAAGACTGTTAAGAGTCTGATGACCTAGTGCAATGAGAAGGGATTTGAGTTGGAAGTGAGTGCATTCTTTATATCAATAGTTTGAGTGAGTGTATGCTTTATATATCAGTTTTTTTATCCACACAAAATGGGCAATGTTTCATTCCTAAACTTCTCCAATCACTTTAGCTGTCATCTGTGTTTGGGGCTATAACATTTGCTCAGTACATTCCAATTGTCGTGGAACTCATCCTTTAACCATACCTTTCATGCAGATAAAATCAGCAGACAATCCTATTCTCCAAGAGCAATTGCAAAATAGTGTTGGAATGCCTTCCTTAATTCCTTTCGAGCATTATAACTTTTTCTTCCATTCAACTGATTCATTTTAAGCTTTGTTGTGTATCAGTGCAGGCTTTCATCCTTTAGTATATTGCTCAGCTTTCTGTGCATTTGCAGGTGCAGATGTGGTGTGATGCTACATGGCAGTCAATTTGGAGGAATGACGGATAATTTTATTGTGTGACAGATGCTTTTGTATAAGCACTCTAGATGTACATTTGAAATTTATCAATCAATAAAATATTATTACTAATAATTTCATGTATTGTATTTTGATATGCTTATGTAGTTTTTGAGTATTATAGCATTTTTTTTTTTTTATAAATTAAAATTTTCCCGACAAAGCCAATTTTGTCAAGAGAGAAGATTGTTCTGAGAAAATATCCATGGTGACGAACACATTTTTGTTGGCTGGAAAGTTTTATTTGTCGGCTTAAAAGCATTGTACTGACAGAAGTATTTGTCGGGAAAGATGGAAATGCCGACAAAAAAGAGTTTATCGGGAAAAGTTGAACTTAGCCGACAAAATACCACAATTCATCGGGAAAACTCTTAGGCAACATGCTTTAGATGACAAAATGGCCGACGATTTTTTTTGTCAGGAAAGACTCACTACAACAAATTGGTCCTTTAGCAAGAACATTATCTTTCCCGTTGTAGAGTTGCTTTTGGCAAGGAAAATTTTGAATTCTCGAAAAAAAGTGAGATCATTTGGTCTCCTTACATCTCTAAGAAACCGCGAGGAAAAAATAATTTTGGCGAGAAAATTGTTTTGTTGCTGTACATAATGCTAGCGAGGAAAAATTGTTCTTCTTGCGCTAGGTTTAGCAGGAAATAAAATTTCCTTCCCGCCAAAATATTAGCGAGGACAATGGGTTCTCGCTGTAGCATTCCCGCTATAATTTCCCAAAAGTTTCAAATAGGGCGCCTTTTATTCACACCTACAACGAGAAAAATATTTCTCGCAGATGGTCCAAATTTGTATTCTAAGTGTTAAACAGTGTCATTTATGGCATAATAATAATAATAATAATAATAATAATATTATTATTATTATTATTATTATTATTATTAATAAAAGAAAAGAAAAAGGGGGAATCTTCTACAAGGGAGGGCGGGTGGAAAAAGGAGGAGGCCTGAAGAAGGAGGAGAAGAGAATAGGGGAAAAGAAAAAGAAAGAAAATGAGGTAGAAGAAGGATAACGAGGAGAGAAAACTATATCTGGTTTTTTAGAGAGGTCGAAGGAAGTATAGAAGATTACATTTGAAGAAGCAATGAGTATGGTTCCTTTTGTCGACCTGCAACATGGGTAAAAATTTCCAACTTTCTTTGATATTTCCATAGATGCTCTGTATCAATATTTCTTATTACTTTTAATTTTATACATTGGGTGTGTTGATCAAAATATCATGTTTTACGGTTTGGCTTAAAATGTCAATTTTTGTTAATTGTGAGTAACCTTTATGGTCCTCTAATCCTCTTCTCCTAATTATTAGTTGCTGCTAAAATTTTCTTATCGGGATTTGTGTCGGCAACTCAATACATTTACATTACCAATCTCCGTTTCACTCGTCACCAACTTTGGTATAATCAAGGCTTCCAATCAAGGCTTTCTTTGTTATTTCCATAGATGCTTTGCATCAATGAAATTGGCTTGACTTCTCCAATGGCAGATTACTCTCTCCCCAAGGATTCTTATTTTCTTGGATTTGACAGTTCCACTCGGTAAGTTACCATTCCCTCACTCTTTCTCCCTCCAATTTCATATCTTTCTTTGATGCTGCTCATGAAATCAGAATTACCCACATCACAAGTTCACATTTTTACTTGGGTATGGATATGGGTTTTCATTGTTTTACTGCAGTCCGTGATCCATCCACAATGAAGTTAATTAGTATCCCTTGTAATCTGAAATGGGTAAAACTTGATTGTTACTTGTTAATGGTTTATGGGTTCTCATTGTCTTACTGTGAAGTTAGATTTCATATGGGAATATGATTCTTTGATTACTCTGTAATCTGAATTGGGTAAATCAAGATTTTGTTTTAGTAATTGTTATTGATTTCTAAAGAGGTCGCACTTGGTGTGATAACAAGTGTCTTCGTCCATGAGCGGTAGGTCTCCAGTTCGAGACTTGGGAGTAGCCTCTCCATAAATAGGGGTAAGGCTAGCCGACATTCACCTCTCCCACACCCTACGTAAAACGGGAGCCTTGTGCACTGAGTACGACCTTTTTTTGTGAGTATATTGAAATCAAAGGTATAGACATGATTTTGGGATTGTATGGAAGTATTCTGAAGTTATAGACATCATTTTAGAGGTGTTAACTGGCTGATGATCCAGTTGTTATCCTCTTGAGGATGAAGCTTATTCAGATTTTAGAAAATTAAACTAAGAGCTGCAAAGTTAAGCAAGCAAAAGAGTTGGCGCCGGCCTTTATCTAATCAATTTATATGAAAAATATAATTTTGTTTATTTTGTAAGTGGTTGAAAGCCTGACCCAATTACCGTCACATTAAAGAAAAATAAAAATATATGGATCATGAACAGTACCTGTGCTGGTGTCATGCATGCATACTGAAAACTTTGTGCTTTAATAAATTAATGGATAGTAACAACATATTGGAGCTCTCAGCTGTTCATATTAAGTATTAACTACAGTTTGATCTCTCATTTGCAAACCTTCAAATCCCAAACCCTAGCTGGAGTAGGAGATCATGGATTTGCAGGTCAAATGGCAATCTTATTTTACAACATAAGTTCTAAAACCCAACTGGACAATTCAACTTTTACAGTCCTTATTTATAGAGACCTCGTGCATGACAGCTTTTCTTGAGCTTTAACCTTGGCTTGCTTTGATCATTTGTTGCAGCTGCATGAGCTGCAGCTGCAGTTTGAGCCACACTTGCAGTCATTCTCTGCTCCATAGTTCATCTCAGACCCCTCAAAGGACCTGCAATAATAATAATAATAATAATAATTTAACTTCATTTTTTTAATCGTCCTATTTTCAGCACATATATAATTCATGAAATTAAAACAATGTTTGAAAGAGTTTATCAAAGGGCAATATGGGCAAATAGAAACTAGGGGGACACTAAGTAAACAACAAAGGTATATAAATCACGATTCAACAAAATTATTGTCTGTTTAGTGTTACTCCAATTCTATTTATTACAAAAAGTTTGTAACCGATTTTATTCAGGTATATTTTTCTTGTAAAAATCTTACATCTTCATTGGTGCAATCCCAGCAATGATGGTATCAATGGAAGTGGTCTCTGAGTAACCCAAGTCCACGTGCATCCCACATCTACACATATATACATAAAGAGAAAACGATATTATTAGGAAAATATAAACAAAGTAATTAATTCCTAGTTAAGAACATTAGGAATGATAGATAATGATGACCGATCACATATATGGTTAATTAGGGGTATAGAAGATTACTTGCAGCCACTGCCGCACTTGCAGTCACTACCACAGCTACAACTGGAAGACATTTTCTCCAAAAGTTGGGTATAAGGACAAGGAGAAGATTAATTGTTCTAGTGCTGGGAACTGAATTAACTTCAAAGCTGGGATGAGTCTTCTTGTGAGGGTCTTAACTGCTATTTATAGTGCAGTTTAAGATTGAAGTGGTCGAGATCCACCGTACACGTGGATCAATTGTAGATAGCTATGCTAATTAATAAAGTTTATAGAGATTACTTGCTCTATCGAACAATCCAAATTCCTATTGAAATTGAATTTTTTTAGTGTGAGACCTTGTCACGTAATGTTTTTAACAATTATATGAGGGCTAGAAGAGGCTTGTATTTTTTAGACCTTGGTTGTTTTTTATGTGCTAATTTAATGCTATTAGCAAAAATGTTCGACATATTTGGGTTAGGCCAGCTGGTCTACCACCGTGTCCTTCCATGCATCAAGTGGTTCCTTTTTATGCACAAGACGTCTATGAATTGACAAAGTGGTCATTTTCTGTAGGTCAATTTGTAGGAGAAAAATAATGTCAATTGTTTCTGTTGGCCACGAAGTTGTCTTAAGGCATGAACACATATTCGAAATGTTCTTTTCTGGGTCCCTTAATCTGCATCAAATATTTTTCACAGAAAAATAAACTTGGTGGCCCCTTGGAATCCAACCCACCATGGATTCAATTGTTATCTTATACTCTAAAACTAGGATGGTCGATGCTATCGAAGACAGTCGAAAAAGGACTTCAAATCATTTTATATGATACAATTTTGTCACAAAAACTCCCAACCAATCAAACTAAAGTTGATAACGTTCTGGGGCAAGTTACCTCATCAAATTATTGGCGCAATTTGATTATTTTATTGTTACCAAAAAGGGATTTAAAAAAAAAAAAACTAAATATATATATATATATATATATATATATAAATCTAGCCTAAGCTAGCTATCTCTTAAAAATATATGACACTAGTACAAAAAACATTTTCGGTGACGTAGGTCCTTCGTCGCACAAAGTCAAAAAACTTCGCACAAAAATTTGCCCGACAAGCCTTCGTTGCGCGGCAAGCGTCGCGCCAAGCTTGTGAAAGTAGGGTTTGCGCGACGAAGAAATACCTACGTCGCGCAAAGTCGATTTGCGTGACGTAGGGTTGTGCGTCGCGCAAAGACACTTTGCATGACGCACCTCACTACGACACGCAAAGACACTTTGTGCGACACGTTTCCTACGTCATGCAAAGCCACTTTGCGCGATGCGCGTGTGTCGCACAAAGTGGCTTAGTGGCTTTGCCCCGGCTTTGTGCGACGTAGGGACATGCGTCACCCAAACCCTTTTTTTTTTTTTGGCAAAAATATTTTTTATTTACTTTTTAATAAATATTGTAATTAAATTCTAAACAATAATTAATAAACCAAGAAAAAGTATTTAATTATAAAATATATGAAAATGTACATACAAGATGTTTGAACAAAAATAGAACAAACTACAATAACTATCTTCTAGGTTTGATACATCAAGCTACTAGGCATTGACTGGACAAAAAGTGGTTGGGAGGTCAAAAATGGAGCAAGATTAGGTGTTGGCATCGGGATTTTGCTTCATAGTTAGAGATGGTGAAAAGAATTTCGCTGCACTCTTCAATTATTCATTCATAGTTGCGGATGGTAAACGTCGAAAAGAAAATTTTGCTACGACAGCATGCAATCCTCTGTAGTTTGGTTTCCAAAAATAATACCACAGATTCTGATACCTATTTCTACTTTCAAAAACAACCTGGGAGGTGTTCGTGCAAATAATCCTACTACAATGTTATATTTTTAAGAAAATTACCTATTTTTTACATTTGTCCAAATCGATAAAATTTTTGTTTCCCATCAAAGAAAGAAGTAATTAAGAACTCCTTACCTTCTCTTTCGGAATACCAACAGCAGACGCGACGTACTCCGCGTTATTGCTTTTGTCCCCAGATAGCATGTATACATCGATTCCTTGCTTAGATAAAGATTTAACAACTTGTCCAGCATCTACCCTTATCTGATTCTCAAAAGGCCGGCAAGAGTACTATCAATGCCAACATATACAATAGATTGACTCGTATGGGCTTCTACTTCTTCAAATGGGTAACTCCATGCCTGCATATATTTAGTTTTTCAATGGGACCTCAATACATGATCCAAGATTAAATTATTTGTCATATTAAGAAGGAAAAAAAAAAATGGATATCTTATTTGGAAGATGAAAACAACTAAGCCTTTGGTTCCCAAAATTAATTTCCATGGTAAGCTAAATAGTCAATCCATCTTCTGGGGTCATTTAAGAGTTCGGCAAACAATCAAGAGTAAAATTTAGAATTGGTCCATGAACCAAAAATCTGTTAATTGAGATCCCTAAATTTAACAAAACATGCGCCCTTGGTTGCCTTCAATTCCCTAACACCAAATGAGCCCTAAAAGTTTTTCTAAGATTCTACATATCTTTAATGAATCTCTAGAATTTTCTTTTAAAGTCGTTTTGATGCCAAAAACCTTTAGAAAATAAGGCTCACTTTTGTAAGCCAAAGTCAAATTGGAGAAAGAAATAAGCATCTGTTGAAGTACCCCTATATCTTCTGTGAGAATAAGTGGCTGTGCTTTGAAAAAAAGCTGCTGTGAGAATAAGTGGCTGTGCTGTGAGAATAAGCGGCTGTGAAATAAAGCCAGCAAAGTGTTTGGTAAACTTTTTTGTAAAAGTGCTTTTGGAAACAAAAAGCAGTATCATAGTGTTTGGTAAACTTTTTTGTAAAACAGTTGTGACTGTGTGAAATGACCAAAAAGGGTATATTACTAGATGTGCTATTAATTTAATTTTCTTAACAAATAAAAGTGAATTACTAAATATATTTTATTTTTAGAAGAAAAATATTTATAAACTTTATCTTAAATATTAATTAGTATGACAAACTACTTTAATAGAAATATTTTAGAGTGAATAGCTAGGATTCATTAGTACAATATTGTTAATGTACTTGAAAGTAGTCTAATTAGATGCATTCATCAAACTTGTTGCTATTCTATTTCTTAATGCCTCTATCTCATGTGATCCTTCAACTTGATAGTTTTGATATTCATCATCATCATCATCACTACTATCGCTTTCTTCACAAAAGTCCCTGGGGTCATCAAAATGACGATCACGTTCAGAATACCTCCGTATGTAGTTATGAAGAGCCATTGTAGCAATGACAATCTTCACTTGCTTATTGAACGGGTAATTAGGCATATCCCTTAAAATTGCCCATCTTTTCTTCCATACCCCAAAAGTTCGTTCAATGATGCTCCTAAGAGAAGAATGCCTGTGGTTGAATACCTCTTTGTGACCCGTTGGTTCGGCACCCCTACGAAAGTCCGGGAGGTGATATCTTTCACCTTTATATGGTCCCAAATAACCTTTCATTTTGATTAATGTTTGTCAAATGTTATAAGAATTACAACGTTCTATATGTAAAGGACGACATGCTCCCTAAAATTTATGTTTATTTCTATCTCAAATGCTCCTTTGAGTAGTTAGACAAGTTAATAATCATTCATAGATAACGTTCTATATGTCCTTGCAAGTATTTTCTTACTTTTGCATTTGGGTTGAGAGAGAGAGAGAGAGAGAGAGAGAGAGAGAGAGAGAGAGCTTAGTTTGAAGTTCTTTTAGGCCTGCTAGCCAATTAACATGATCACTTTTGTTTCACATACAGTATAGAAGTTAACAGTTGTAGGTTGCATGCAGCGCACAACTGATTACAAGATCCATTTGTATCCTTTATGTCTTGCTCTGTGGGTGGCTGAGTCCCCAAAGAACATACTAATGTGGTACATAATTTGACAAAAAATTGACACATATACATACACATAAATATATATACAGTTTGATACAACTTAGCTTCGGTGCAGTTTGTAATATATATACAGTTTGATACAACTAGCTTCGGTGCAGTTTGTAATATATATACAGTTTGATACATATACATACAAGTCCAAAAACCTCAAGGGAAAATAATCCTCCAAATTAAACCCTTAAATCAAGTCGTACCCTTCTTGAACTAGCAACATTAGCGTTCGATTGGTGCTAACCTCCTTCTCTGAACCTAAATAATTAGTGGCAAATACACTCTGGATTATGTTATCTAAAGAACCCTTCTGCAATATTGCTTTCAATCCCACAACCCTATTTTCCTTCATCTCATCCCAAATCATCACAGTTTGGGTTCATAGTTTGTAATACAAGAGATTACAGTTTGTAATACATATACATACATATACATACAAAAGATTACAAGCAGGTTTACTTATCACCAGAACAGAAGAAACTTTACATACATATACATACATATACATACAAAAGATTACAAGCAGCTTTACATACATATACATACATATACAGAACAGAAGAAACTTTACTTATCACCAGGCCTTTATAACCAGTCAATCATTGGACATAAAAACAACGCTACCTAACACAATTGTTGTTTCTCAAGCAGCTTAAAGACATTTTCCTGAAATAGAAAAAGATAAATTTTGGCAAAAACCAATCAAACACAGACAGAAGTAGCATTACCCATGTATCTCCCCTTCACAGGTTTTCTAAATAATGAAGAAAGAATCTGATCTCATTTCTAAGAAAACCCTTTTTGTTAAATCAAATGTCTTGAAGCACAACTGTGAAATTGAGGCAAACTATGACAGTGGAACCGCAAATCCAATTTACATTTTCCCCAATGATTGAGAGCATGTAGCCAACAAAGTTGAGGGAATTATAAGTATAACCAAAAGAGAATTACAAAAGTGACCTGAACCGTAAAATTCACCAAAAATAGCTCGTGCAACCAAAACATGTGAAAATTTCCAGATAAGTTGTATCAAAATTTCATTGATTTTCGAGTTCGGGACTCCTTGAGGTGATTAAAAAAAAAAGCTACTATGAAAATAACCCCCACATGAAAAAATACAAAACTGGAATCCAAATGATAGACAATTTAAAAAAAACAAAACAAAAACAAACAAAAAAAAAATCTAATGTGAGCTGCAATTTCATACTCAGTTTGGAAACTCATCTATTCCTGATCAAGTTCGTATTATCTCTAATATGAACAAAATCATGAA